GAGTCATGTAGTGTATGTGTTTGCTATTTGGGTCAGGCTTGCTCTCAGCATTATGGAAATTCTTTAAATAAATGTGAAGCTTTCCTATTTATTTTAAAGATGCTTCAAAGTTTCAAATTAATACGCTGTCTCTTACCAAAAGGTGTAATTTCATGCAAGTTGCTTTACTTAGGTTTAAATTTATTTTGCAAAAATTGTATATTCAAAGTCATGTGCCAAGGGATGTGCCCTAGAGATAAAGTGACTGCCAGGCATGCTCAAGGCCCTGGGTCCCATCTCCACTGTTGCAAAAGGAGCCACTTTCAAGGTTATCTCCCTTCTCTCTCCTCCTTTCTCATCACCTCCCTTCCCCTACCCTCTCTTTTCCTTTCTTTGGAACAGGAATTTCATAGGAATTTGTCCCTTTGCTTTTGGGGTGATAATAGTTAAATCTTGTATGATCACATTTTGGATAAGAATTAGGCTTAACCAAATTAAAGAAATGTTTTCTTAGTTTTCATCAGCAAATAATGTTAGCTTACATAATCACCTGTCCTTGATATTAAATCTACCAAAATTACTCTGACTCTTGTCTCTAAATATATTTGCATTATTGAGATGAACATCATCACAGTGTGTTATTTTATTTTAGTATGCTTTTGGCTCTGCTGTTTCATTTCTGCTTTTTCTGCCTGTACTAAGTGAACTAAATCTGCATGGTGGTGTGTGTGTGTGTGTGTGTGTGTGTGTGTGTGTGTGTGTGTACTCTTGAGTGTGTGCATGTAGTGTATATATTTGCTATTTGGGTCAGGCTTGTTCTCAGCATTATGGAAATTCTTTAAATAAATGTGAAGCTTTCCTGTTTATTTTAAAGATGCTTCAAAGTTTCAAATTAATGCTCTGTCTCTTAACAAAAAATGTAATTTCATACAAGTTGCTTTACTTAGGTTTAAATTTATTTTGCAAAAATTATGTATTCAAAGTCATGTGCCAAGGGATGTGCCCTAGGGATAAAGTGACTGCCAGGCATGCTCAAGGCCCTGGGTCCTATCTCCACTGTTCCAAAAGGAGCCACATATTCAAGGTTATCTCTCTTCTCTCTCCTCTTTCCTCATCACCTACCTTTCCCTACTCTCTTTTCCTTTCTTTGAAACAAGGTCTCATGTAACCCAGGATGGCCTTGAGCTTGCTCAGTAGTGAGGCTGCCCTTGAATTTGTGATCTGCCCACCTCCACCTCTCAGGGGATTAAAGGAGCATGCTCCCCAACATCTGAAAGGTTTTACATTTTCCAGTCTTTTCTGTTTTTACATTTCCTCCTATTTTATGAGTACTTATTCTGAGTCCTCAACTACTCAGAGGGAAGGTTTTGCATCCTTATTCCCCTTGTCTCTGGTATGAGAGCCCCGGTTGACTCATAGTGTCTTTTCTTATTTCCTGCCATTTCCCAAGTTAAAGAGGGAGAGCAGGCCTTGTCCAATACTCATGGTTTGAGATTTTATGGAGATTTCACATATTTAAAGTTACAGGCCAACTAAGACAAAGGGGAAATGCTTCAACTTACTGTACTCATAAATTATATGTATTTTTTTCTGGTTCAGAAATCTAGTAGTCTAAGCCGAAGAAAGAAAACAAGAGTATGGCCTCTGGTCAGTGAGTTCTTTCTGAATACGGACGGGGTGGCTGACATCTGGGGCAGGAGCCCATCCTGTTTCTAGCAGAGTTACCTTTATTTGGAAAGAGTTGTTGTTGGTGTTTTTACTGGTTTCCCAGCTCAGCATTCACAGTTCAAGTCGTCCTCATTGTGCAGCTGATAGGGGAGTGATTCAAGGGGTTGATTCATGTGCCTTTCTGTGCTTACTTTTACTTGAGCCCCAAGTACTGAGGGCTAGAGTCAAATTTTGCTGAGTCCCTTTCTATCTGCTTTTCAGACTGCATAGAAACCTGGGGTGACAGGACTTGTCTTTAAAAGTTTAGCAGACTCCTTCCTTTCTCAGTCACCCCCAATGCTGTCAGAGGTTCTCTGCATCTTACAGGCCATTTCAATAGAAAACTTGCATGGAATAAAAGGGTAACTAAATGCATCCTCAAGTTGCCATTTTTAACTGAGAGCCATCTCTGCTTTTAGGAAATCCGGGCCTGCTACCAATTCAACACCCACGTGTACTGGTAATGGCTGGCAAAGTATGGAGTCGGGGGCAGACGGTTTATGTTATATTCTTATTTCATTTCTCATCCATCACCTACAAGCAGATGTCTTCTACATGAACACCAACTTAGTGGCCAAGAGTATTTTGGAAAGGGAAAGCCAAGATATTTCCCATAATCCTTTGTCTTGCAATATTTTCATACCTAGAAGTAACCAGAGCAATTAACCCAGTGCTGGCCTGCTCTCTTTTGAGGTCTTCGTTCCCTCTTGTTGATGCTGTTGGAGGCCTTCAGAGCACACAGCAATGTCTTCATTGCCTCTGCTCTGCCCACTCAAAGACATTTCATGCTAGTGAGCTCTACCTTTGGGTGGATGGATATCCAATGCATTCCTCTTATATATGACACCTTTCTTGTAAAATTAAACATTCAGCATTCCATGGCATGCCTGTTAAACTGAGGGATTTTGTCAACTATCCCATTATAAAAGTGACACCCAAATTTCCTTCAAAATATCTAGAGACGGGCCGGGCGGTGGTGGTGCACGCCTTTAATCCCAGCACTCGGGAGGCAGAGCCAGGAGGATCTCTGTGAGTTCGAGGCCAGCCTGGGCTACCAAGTGAGTCCCAGGAAAGGCGCAAAACTACACAGAGAAACCCTGTCTCGAAAAACCAAAAAAAAAAAAAAAAAAATCTAGAGACGTATAAATAACTTAAGTCTTTTATACATAGACTCTACTTCCCAGACAATTCCTGTTTCATCTTCTGGCTGGATTTCCTCTTTCCTCCCACTATCTGACAAGTACTAGGTGGTGCTGAATTCAGTAAGTCAGGAACAAAACTTTCAGAAGCTTAGATTTGACAGAAGCCTCAGAAGTGCAGAGGAAGAAGAAAGATGCTGAGATTTCAGTGGCTCCTTAGAGGCACACTGGAGGAAGGCTAATACTCGGGCAGGAAAGCCTGCTGGCTGACGTTTAACACAATGCTACTACCAGGAACAGGTAGAGCAATATCTAGGTCGTTTAGCGTTTCATGGGGGTGTATATCTGATTCTACTCAACAAAAATTGCTGGGGCTATTTTATTTTTAACACTTGTGAACAAAATCAGGAGCCTTTTAAATTCATAGATAATGAAATAAATTTGCCCAGAGTAATAGTATTTGATATCGATACTAAAAATAGTTATTAATACTCAGGGAAGGGCTGGGATGGAGGTCAGTTGGCCAAGTGCTAACAAGTACAAAGCCCTGGGTTCAACCCCCCCATAAATTAGGCACAGTAATGTGTGTTGTAATTGCAGAGGAGAGGGTGTAGAAGGAAGGACTTTCCCAGGTCCTGTGAGTCTAACAATTGGGTTTGACTTTACTCCGCAGTAAATACTGATGTTTTACTTAGTGATTTTTGTCTTTAAAATTGATTTCTTGGTTAGATGCAAAATAATGCATTTAATTGTGTTTTTTTTCCCCCTCAAGACAGGGTTTCTCTATGTAGCCTTGGCTGTCCTGGAACTGGATCTGTAGACCAGATTGTCCTCAAACTCACAGAGATCCGCTGCCTCTGCCTCCTGGGTGTTGGGACTAGAATCATGCACCACCACTGCTCAACAATTGAGATATTTTCATACATATAGATCACTGTGGCTTCTTCTTCTTCCTCCTCCCCCAGGCCCCACCTTGCCCTCTTGTTTGTCTTTCTCCCAAATACTCACCTCTGCTCTCCTGTCATGTGTATTCCATTACCTCTCTTGTCCTCCCCTTTTAGACCTCTTCCTTTATTTGTACAGTCCCCCGTCTTATTTTTTATCTCCTCCCCACAAACATAAGTGCTGTGGGATGGTCTGTATGTCAAATGCTCTTATTGGTCAATAAATAAAACACTGATTGGCCAGTGGCCAGGCAGGAAGTATAGGCAGGACTAACAGAGAGGAGAACTGAGAGAACAGGAAGGTGGGAAGAGACACTGCCAGCCTCCGCCATGACAAGCAGCATGTGAAGATGCCAGTAAGCCACGAGCCACATGGCAAGGTATAGATTTATAGAAATGGATTAATTTAAGATATAAGAACAGTTAGCAAGAAGCCTGCTATGGCCATACAGTTTGTAAGCAATATAAGTCTCTGTGTTTACTTGGTTGGGTCTGAGCAGCTGTGGGACTGGCTGGTGAGAGAGATTTGTCCTGACAGTGGGCGAGGCAGGAAAACTCTAGCTACACATAAGTACATATTTAAATTTAAATTCCACACAAGAGAAAGCTTGATGTTTCCCCAAGTCAGATTTACATCTTTTAACACAGTGATCTCTAATTCCATCCATTTTCCTGAAAATGCCATTATCTCACTTTTCTGTATAGTTGGATAAAATTCCATTGTGCACATGTACCACATTTTCTTTGTCAACTTATGTTTTTGGTGAGTAACCAGGGTACTTCCATGTCTTGGCTATTCCGAAGAGTGCAGCAGTTAACATCGAGTGAGTATGTCTGTGGTGTGCTGACCTGGGATTGTTTGATGATATATACAGGCACGGTATGGCTGGGCTGTATGGCAGTCTTGCTCTTAGTTTGTATGAAGACTCTTCATTCATTTCCATAGTGGCCGGATCCATTTCTGTCCCATCGGCGCTGTGTGACAGTTTTCCGTCCCTGGTGTCCTTGCCAGCACTTGCTGTTACTCGTTTTCTTCAGGACAGCCACTCTACCTGGGGTAAAACAGAAGAATCTCAAAGCAACTTGAGTTTCCATGTCAGTGCTAGCCAAATGTGTTAAACGCCTTTCCCCTCATGTTTACAATCAGTTCTTGGAAACTTCGTATGATGTACTTGATCACATTCACCCCTCCTCCAACTCTTCCCAGAACCCTCCCCCCTTCCCCACTCACCCAGCTTTGGCTCCTCGGCTTCTGCATTCTCAGACACTAAGCAAGGTGACACACTGGGGGATTGTTTCAGAGGTTTACTGTTAAACATGATAAGTGACTTCAAAGAGGAACCAAAAGCATAGAGGAACAACATAAAGAAATTGACAGAACCTGAGGAGGAGGAAAGCCAGCAACACCCAGAAGAAGGTAAAGTGGATGAGAAAACCACTTGTGGATGAAAAAGACAGCAATTTGGAAGTGGAATTCACCAAAGAAATTGAGATGCTGAAACAAAGAAAGAAATTTTGTCCATGAAGGCAAAATTCCAACATGGAGGGGAGGTGGCATGAAATCTCACCTGAGGGGAGGGGCTATTGGCATTGGTAGCCTCTGGGACAGGGAGAGTTTACCTTCTTTAAGGATGTGAACCCTGGTGGGTTAATCATGCTCCTGGGGATAGGCCCATTCCCAAGACTATACACACAGCATGGATTGGAATTGGCGAGCTTTCTTTGTGCAGCTGTGCACAGGTAACCAGAGCGGCTGTGAGTGGCTGTGTGCTGAAGCCACCTCGTGTCCAGAAGTGTGCGTTCCTCAGCTCTCTTCATCTGCCAGCTCTTACATTTCCCCCATTCTTCCACAATGCTCCCTGAGCCTTGAATGGGAGGAGGTTAGTACAGATGACTCATCCACAGCTGAGCACTCCCAGTCACTTTCTCATACTTGGCATTTGGACCAGGTATGAGTCTCCACATTAACTCTTACCCACAGCCAAAAGAAACTCCTCTGGTCAAATCTGAGAGCAACACAAATCTCTGGTTAGAAACACAAATATTTAGAAGGCAGTTTGACAGCATGCTTATTTATCACAACAGCAGGCTCCATGCTGGAGCCTGTGATCTCCTCTAGGTTTGCAGTACCTGGCTCAAAACCCTTGCTGTAGAGAAGGCCTCATATTCACTCAGAAAGTGGTTGATAATTTCCATAACTGTCATGCCACTATTGTACCAGCAGGCATATCTTGGCAGGCAAGTGGGCATGTAATGATTAATCTTGATTGCTAATTTGACAGGATCTAGAATCAACCAAGATATAAGCATCTGGGTGGATCTGTGGACATATTTCTAGAAAGCATTAACTTAAATGAGAAGACTCTCCCCGAAAGTGGGAAGTACCCTTCAACAGGTGACCAAGATACAAAGAGATCCCAGGAAAAAGCAGTGTTGTCCCATTGTTCTATTGTTATGAAGAGACACCAGGACCACAGCAACTCTTATAAAGGAAAACATTTAACTGGGGCTTACATACAGTTTCAGAAGTTTGGTCCGTTTTCATCACGGTGAGGAGCATGGCGGCATGCAGGTAGACGTGGTGCTGGAGAAGTAATCAAGAGTTCTACATCTGGATCCACAGGCAGCAGGAAGACAGAGACACTGGGACTGGCTTGGACTTTTGAAACCCCAAAGTCCACCCCCCAGTGACACTTCCTCCAATAAGGCCAACCTACTCCAACAAGGCCGCACCTCTTAGTCCCTCTCAAATAGTGCCATTCACTTCCTGATGACCAAGCACTCATACATGAGCCTATGGGGCCATTCTTATTCAAACCACCATATCCCCCTTTGTTGTCTGCCGGTGAATGTATCTTGTATTCATCATTGCTGTTGCTATGGCCACCTTATTCAGCTGACATCAGAGTGTCTTAGCTCAGATGTGTCTCCCAGCGCACTGAGATAACTAACTACAGGCAGACCTCTCTCTGTAGTTTCAAAACACATTAAGCATTAATCACCCTGCTGGAGAGAGGCACCTGTGGATGGATGTCAAGTGGTTGGCAAGAACACCAGAGTTCTTAGGCTGTACAGTGGTCAAGTTCATGGCGGATACCTGGCTCTACAGTAGAGGCTGATCCACCACCAACCCCAGGCTCAAGGCTATTCAACTCTGGAGTCACTCCCCACTGATGAAGTCTGCTCCCAGGCAATAAGGATGAGGCTGCCTTTCTTATGTTGGATGCCTTGGCTGAGCCTCCTGCTGTCTGCACATCTTAGCTTGTCAGAATCTGGCTCTCCCACTTCCCATAACTGTCTTTCCAGAGCTATCTCTCACCCAGGGGCTGTAGCAGGTTGAATTCAGGCTCCTGGGTTTGTAACTGTTTTCTGTTCAGAGGTCCTTATGGTAACTCGGTTTTATACAATGGGTTCACTCTCCAGACAGCACCGAGCTGCAGCCCTCTGAGTCGGCGAACATAACAAAGTGGGATTCCTCTGGACTGCTGACCCATCCACTGGAGGATTCACTCTCTCCAAAACCTGCAGCGGAATCTGAGGCCTGTGGGAGCCAGTGGTTTGTCCTGTGTGCAGCACTGCTAGCCTCTTTTCACCAGGGACTTCTTGGTTTACTTTTAGATGAGGTGTCTGCTGCCTCTTCCCTGGCAGGGATCTGTGAGTCTGTTCTGTTCAGATCGGCTTACTTCTTTTCACCACATTTCTGTTTTGTTTCTCTGGACTTCTCAGCAGTCCTATCCCTCCTTTCTGAGTCTTCCTGTGCTTGGGATTGAATTTACTGTTTCTTCTTGCTCACTGGGTCATATTTCAATAAGTATGTTCAGTCTAGAACATAATGACTTTATTTTCCATTTTGAATTAATTATCTAATTAGTGCTGGGGATTGAACTCAGAATCTATCACATGTGAGGTCAGTGCCCTATCATTTGATTGTATTCCTATTCTTCAACTTTTGTTATTATTATATATTGCAGGGACATCATCTAATCCACCATCATACTCGGAAGTCCCTAATGTTGATGTTTTAAAACTTTTAACAAATTGTAAACATAAAAGAAAATACTGTAATGAACCTTATTTATTGATAATTCAATTTTAAAATTATCAATATATAGTCAAGTTCTTCTCATCTATATGTCCTCAACTCACCCCCTCATTAGTTATATTGAAGCAAGTCTTGGAAATTAGATAATTTAGTTAACTAATTATGTTGGAGGATTGACTCTTGAACTTGTGATATGCTAGTCAAGTGCTTTACCATTGATTTACATCCCCAGTCTTTGGTATTATTATCATTATATTTTAGATATAGAACATCAATATGGAGCTCAGACTGACCCTCACAATAATCCTGTCTCTGACTCTTGAGTGTATGCCACTATGTTCAGTTAAGGTTGTTTTTTTTTTTTTTCAAATGGACCCATAACAGCATTATCATCACATGCAAGCCAAATTATAATTTATTAATATTATCATACAAATGTTTATTTTGACCTGTTTGCTTTGTCAAAACTTTTAACAACTTTTTGAAGTCCAAATAATATCCATAGTTTGCCATTGGACCAGAGCTCAACGTTTACCATTCATCAGATTTCTAATGATATGCTATTTCTCTGTCGTCTTTCAGATGTAACCAGATAGCTTATTTTAAGTATGATTTTAAAAATATGATTTTAAAATACACTTTAAAGACTTCAATCCAATGAAGGTGTGCTGCCATTGGAGCTCAGGTTCCCTGTGTCAACCAAGTGTGGCTCATGTATGCTGGCTTCTGAGCACATTTTACACAGCCCTGATGGTCTTGTCTTTAATTGCTTTATTTATTCTTTAGTAGCAGGTGTTACAGTATGTCTTTGACATTCTTTGCCAGAATTGATTATTTTTCCAGAGAGCTTTAAGAAGAAAATATTTAAGGATAAAAATATGGACACTGGAGGAACACACTGATTCTGGACTGGCTGTTTATTCTATGTCTTTTCAGTGGTTACAGTTAGGGAATGTTGTGTTATGGTTTGGATCTTAAATGTGCCCCAAAGGCTTCATTTTAAAGGCTCATTCTCTAAATTATGATGCTCTTTGAAGGAAGTTAAATTTGTAGGAAGCCCAGTGGAAGAAAGCTAAGTCATTGAAGGCATACCTCCTCTGCATTTGCTTCCAGTCACTCTAAGATGAAAAATCTCCTCCATTGCATGCTTCCCATCATGGAACTTCCTTACCACAGGCCCCTTAAACAATTGGCTAAGCAGCCACGATCTGAGCTATGAGACCAGACAAAATTTTCCTCTCATTAAGTTGTTTATCTTAGGTATTTTGTTGCAGCATCAGAAAGCTCAAAGAAACAGGAAAGTGGGATCATTGTGACCCTACCTGATAATGTGGTTCAGAGTGGCAGGATTTTGAAAAAAAATATGGAGATGTAGATTAGAAAAGCCCTAGCATGTGGTTAATGGAGAACAGTTGGGAATTCTGGTGGTGACTTAGGAGACCAGACTACTAATAGGAACAGGGACAGTAATCAATGTTTTTGAAGATTTAGAAATGAGAATTTGGCTGACAACTGGCTTAGAGGTCATCCATTTATGTTACATTCTGGCTAATGATTATGAGTCTTTTGTGGGAGGCTGAGTTTAAAGGTGGTGGGTAGGATTATGTGGCTGAGGAAATCTCAATGAAGCAGAGCTTTCAGGCAGTGGCATGGGTGTTGCTGGCTGCTTTAACCAGATTTACAGAGAGAATGAGGACTGAAAAGTAAGCTAAACACTAGCAACTTGTACTTGAAAGGAATATATTTAAAGTTTAGCCAGGAGGCTATGACTGCTGAAGAGATTGGAGCCATTAAAAAAAATTGAAGTATTTTGTACTGGGACAAAAGTAAAGGTGCCTTGAGAACATATAGTAGTTGGTGAGACCTCACATACTGAAGGCTCAAGGGTGCAAGCGTCTAAGCTGTTTTAGACTTTGTTTTTAAAAGGCCACAGTGTGCCCCTGACCTCAAAAAACTGCCTCGAGACTGTTTCCCTAGGATCTAGATCATTCTGTATTGCTGACTAAGCACTCAGGGGCTACTGCGGCCATGGTTCATGTAGCTGGCTCTTGTTCCCACTGGAGGCATACCCTGACATTCTCTATATGAATGAATCTCTCCATCTATCTGTCTATCTATCTATCTATCTATCTATCTATCTATCTATCTATCTATCCATCCATCCATCCATCCATCCATCCATCCATCTATCTGTCTATCTGTCTATCATCTATCTATCTATCTATCTATCTATCTATCTATCTATCTATCTATCTGTCTATCTTCTTCAGTACTGGGGTTGAATCTATGGACTTGCTCTTAGTAGGCAAGCACTCTACAGCACTCTATGACTAAGCCATATTACCAGTCTTTTCTCCATTTTTTGTTTTAAGACAAGTTAGCAAGGCTGGTCTTAGAGTCAGTCCGTAGTTCAGAAGGACCTTGCACTCTCCTCACTGCAGCCTCCCAGCAGCTAAAATCACAGGCTTGTGCCATCAGATCTGTCATTGTCACTATTTATTGACGTGATGACTGACTGCATGAGTTGTGGTGCTATGGACACATCAAATAAGATCTCAAGTGAAAACATGGGAGGCCACATAAGCATGGGGGGGCTATGTAGCATCAACAATGTGAGGTTCTTGTAGGCATCCCCCAGAAGGCAATACATGAAGCTACAAGAGAGAAACATTGGCTAAGACAAGTAGAGGAAGCCAAGAGGAATAGTGGACTAGAGGTAACAGAGTAATCAGCTGAGGAATAGTAAAGCAGAATTAAGCAGTGATACAAGCATGCTACATCTGAGTTTCGTTGAAAAGGCAATGCAAGATATATCTGGAGTACATCACCCCAAAGCCAAGAGACAAAATTGAGTGCCTCCCACCCTGTTTCTGACAAGAAATTTAACACGCATTGACCAAGTAAAAATGCTGACTTGATTCAAACTATTAGAGCAACTCTGAGGGAAAATGACTCAGGCTTTAACGAAGGTACAGAACAGGAGTTTTTGAGATAAGAAGTCCAAGAACGTATAGTAATTAATGTCCCTCAGGATGATTCCAATGTTGAACTGTGAAAGCCACTAGCATATAATGAGAATATAAGAAGAATTTATCCCAATGAATATAAAGAGGGTCTCAGGGCTCCTGTGCTCCAGCATGTTGATCAACATTCCCACACTCCCTTGTTTGCCTTTGTTGGCTAATGCTGTAAACAAAACAGTGCTTCTGAATCATGGTCTTGGGTCATCTGTGCCAAATGAAACCTCTCTCTATTTGAGTCTCTTAAGACTGTATTCATCAATCAGAGTTGAGATAACTGACACCTTGGCTGTGTAGCTTGCCTTCTGTTTGAGAATGCTTCTGGGTTCTTGAGGTTTGGCAGTCTCTCCAGCACATCCTAAATTAAATAAAAGAGTTGCTTCTCCTAGCAGAGCATTGGAATGAGTCCAGCTAAGAATTGATCCAGCAACAAACAACTTAATTTATGTTGGTATAAAAAGCCCTAGCCTCCGAGTGTCTGTAATTAGGAAGACTCCA